TATTAGCATAATTAAATAATCTTGTTTTATCTCATTAGTTCTTAGGGATAAAAAATGAATAGAGTGCCCTTTTTGTCTCATACTTTTTTTTTTGCAAATGATAGTTACCTGCTCACCAGGGCAGCCCCAAATGAGGGACAAATCCTATTGGAAACTATAGACAAATCTAAAATTTTCTTTAGTAGGAACTTGCATCACATGCTCCCAAAAAAATGATAGCTTCCTTTTTGGTAATGAAAAGGGTGGAACATCCATCCATCTATCTTGGGCTGCTGACTGAAATAGGGAGAACAACAAAAAAGCTATATTTAGTCATCTAATAGAGAGAGCAGAGATAAAAAAAAGAAGAAGCTATCAAGAGATGCTTCTATCCCAGGCACATAAGGAGGTTTTATTGAAATTAGTGATCACTGCTATCGTTTCTTACACAATGGCATGCTTCCTCTTACCAAAACGTGTCTGAGGCACTTTTTAAAATTCAAAGAAGATTTTGATGGAATAAGGGTGAAAGGAAGAATTGCACCCATTTAGTAAGCTGGGCAAATGCAAGTATGAATAAGTTTAATGGGGGGGGGGGGGTAGGGTTTAGTGACCCATTCTGCTTCAATCTAGCCTATCTTGCAAAGCAGGCCTGGAGGTTGTGCACAAATGAGAACAACCTATGGGTTAAATTAATGGAAGCCAACTATTTAAGGGTAAAAATTCCTTTAGTTCCTCGCTATCCAAAAGAGGATCTTGGGGATGACAAAGTTTAGTGGTTGGGAGGGAAGTATTAAAACAAGGAGAATGTTGGGCGGTTAATTTGGGTAGTGAGGTGAAAGTATGGTATGATCCTCGGCTACCTAAGGTTTAGGGCTTTAAATTTATGGGCCCTATGCCTTCACATGCATGTTTAGTCTCAGTTAGAGACCTAATGGTGGATCCTATCAGAAGGTGGAATGAGAATCTAATTAGAGAAAACTCTATGGAGGCCATAGCTGAAAGTATCCTTGGCTGCTTATTTTGTAGCCAAGAATATGGTCCTGGAGACTACTCCTAATAATGTTGGAAGTGTTCAAGTTGCATGAATGAAAGAAAGAAACTATTGGAAAGAGCTTTGGAAAACAAAGATGAAAGATTGACCCAATTTGCCAAGAGAGGTATCTCACCCTTGCAAGTGTAGTTTGGTTCAATAGCCTCATAAACTGCAATTCGTAAAGGTGTAGGCATCTCTAGTTTTGTAGAGTAGTTTAGATCCTGGGTGGACACCTGTTCTTCTATAAAGGATAGAAAAGACGATTTGCTTCGCGTCTCAGGGATTATCATTTGGAAGGCTAGGAATAGATTTGTTTTTGAGAATGTGGTGCATGATCCAAATCTGTCTTTATGCTTGATTAACAGGGTGGTGAAGGAGAGGAAGATGACTCCCCAGCGAGAATGGCATCTTTCTTCCCTTGCTCCTGATGGTCGGAGTCCGGGACTCTCTTCTTTTTGGCAAGCACCCGCGCCAAGTTGTTTAAAAGTCAATACAAATGCTAGTTTTTTGTTATGAGGTAAAGCTAGGTTTAGAGTGGTTCTTAGAGATCACAATGGCAACGTTTTAGCTGCTCATTTTGGACCTCTGTTGGCTAGTTCACCTATACAAGCTGAAGCTCTACCGATTTCAAAGGGCCTAGAGTTGGTGAAGAGACTGCAGTTATCCCAAGTTTTTTCGGAATCTGACTGTGTTAGTGTGATCAATGCGAKTACAAGTGGAAATTTGGAGCTAACGAAGGATGATTTCTTTCTCCGTCAAGATGTCGTGGAGTTGTGTAACTATTTTTCCCCGTCAACTTTCTTTTTTGTAAAAAATACATATTAATGGGTAGCTCACAAGCTGGTTAGAAGGGGTCTAACTAAAACCTTTTTGTTTGGAATTGCCCGGAGTGACTTGAAAATTTAACGAGGCGAGACTCGAATAGACCTCTATAGTATGGGATGCTATCGTTGTAGCTCTTTTGGTGTTTGCTGTAATCTGATATCTTTGTTTACCAAAAAAAGAAGAGAAAAGAATCTAATCGTCCAACTTCTCAAAACAGAAATAATATGTAAGTATGAAATTCATAATATTTTTCTTATTAAAATAATTGTTTGTATTTGTTTTTATTTCAAAAAATAAAAGTATATTTTTGGCATAAAATTTTAGTGGATCCATGGATATGATAGACCATCTATAGATCTACATTATCGTTATTCTATATCACCACATTGTGTAAAACATATTAATGTTGTAATTTTTAGTCATTTTTCCAAAATTTCATTAAAAATATATATACCTAATTATAACTTATAAGGGCAAAGAATCCATGTATCCAACCATCCAAGACACACCTGATACAAATCACAAGTGAATATGAATTTTTCTTATTAAATAATTATTTTGTATTTATTTTTATTCTAAAAATTACAAAAGAAAGTTCACAAATTATTTGTGGATATAATCAAGGTTCAAAGTATCGAAAAACATAAGGTGTATCGGAAAGATAATTTTAAGAAACGTTTCGGGATATGCTTTGGATACACATGGATAGATTAAGAAACTTATATAAATCTTAAAAAATACATTAATAACAATAAATATAACTTTTATATGACCTTAAATAAGTTATAAACACTTATAAAGAAAAACAAGTTATTTAAACAAACCCATACCTCAATAGTTTATACAAAATGTGAGATATAAAGACAATTTGACATTAATTAATGAACATCCATTAAGAAGAAAAATATTTGCTTAGGAATAATAATACATACAGTTATAATCAACAATTGAATATGGTGTGGTGGTTTGTTTATTTTTATTACAATCAAATTAACAGGGTTCAATTTTCCTTACCTTTCTTATTTGTAGTTTTAAATATGTTAGTTTAATAACAAGTCAACTTCGAATTTATTACTTTAATGGTGGGTTAAATTAAAATTTGAATTTGAATATTGTCATAAATGTAGTAAATTAATTATTAATTAAGAGTGAAAATGAGTTATTAAGAAAGAGGTAATAATTATAGGAGATTAGGAGTTATTTAGGGCAAGTTTCCTTAAGGCTATGTTTGGTTTAAAGGAAAAAATAGGGAAAGGGAGGGAATACAATTTCCTTTCCCTACTTTTTCCTTCAAACTAAGCACAACCTAAATGTAGGATTTATTAGAGAAACAATGAATTATTAAATAGGCTTATTTATGTGTGTGTGTGTGCGAGAGAGAGAGCGAGAGAGAATCTAATATTACAATATGTATCGGCCGATGCATTCAAAATATCGGTCCGTATTAGTCGATACAAACTCAAAATGACCTGATACGGGTCCGTATCAATCCGATACAGACAAAAAGGAACGGAACTATTAGATTTGTAACGTTCCATGCATCAGGATGTTACTGGAATGATACATATCGGCCGATACGTTGCGATTTTTTAAACCTTCARTAGATCCACATTGTAATTACTAATTACTCATTATTATCAGATCGTGCAAAAAATATAACTTTTTCTACTATTTTTATAGTTTTCCTATTTTTCTGGTGCAATACATAAATCTACTTAGAACACCAAATAAAGTTAGTTTTCAACACAATAAGAATATATCAATGTAGATCTAAACATTTTCAAGCAGTCAAACACACACACAAAAACCTATAAAAACATGAAGATAAGATGAAAAAATTGCAGCAATCTTGTGATTTTTCGTTGATTACGCCAAAGATGCGTTTAGTTTCAAAAATCTTGATTCATGATGATTTTTGCAGAGTTGAGCGTTTAATCATATATGAAATTAATATTCTGTTGTTATGCATCCATTGATATGCTACGACAAACACAAAAAGAGACAATATAATGGAATTCTATGCATTCTGCATGCATATTGGCAAATTGTTGGAATGATACGTATTATATGATGTGCACTAATATGTAGCAATGCTTTTAACCTTGGATAGATCCAACTTATAGTTCTTCATTACCATGAAAATCATTTAGAATATATAAAACTAATTTTCTAAATTTTGGTTTTTCCTAAAAATAAGAAAAAACGTTTTTTACACAAATTATTGTTCATCCATATTATAGTTCTTTCCTGCAAAAATCTTTTAAAGCTTATAATCTCTTTCCAACAATCTCTAGTGGAGGTTCTAATTAAGAAATTAAAAACTTCAGTTCAAGAGAAAGAATTGCTAATTTATATATTATTTAGTTTCTTAGATTTTCAGATATGAGAGGCATTTTTATAATTTTTTCCGGAACGCATTTCCATAGTTTTTGTTTTTTTGCAACTTTCAGATCTACATACATAATTTTTAGTTTTAAGTTTTTAAGGTAGACTTCATTAGTAAGTTATGTTAGGGTGTCTACAAGTTTTTATAAGTCTCCTAATATCTATCTTACGTGGACACAAAATTCTCTGAGACTTTAAATTCAAATCATGTCTCTCTGGGTTATTGTTCAGAGGTCAAAACTTGTTTTTCTAGATTTTTGTCTCTAATAAGGGTTTTCGAGTTACTATCCAACGTGACCAAGATCATATGAATCTGAAGTCACTAAGGAAGAATGTTGAAAGTGTTGGACAACCCCATACTCATCCTACATCACTGCAGCACCTCATTCTTCATGATTGAGGTCATGGATTCAAGCTATGAGTTTAAATAAGGGCTCTTCTTGACCAGAGCAGCCCCACAGCGTAGCCCCCTTCATTTCCACTATGCAGCTGCATCTTCAGTTTCCTTTCTCATGAATGAATGTAGGAATAAGTGAATAACTACATGGCTGTTTTTGACGGATTGCATAAATTGTAGCATGTTAACAACGATTTAGTTTCCTTCATTCTATATAATTCTGAAGAACAACATGACATTTGGTTTTCAGCACCCCAGGGAGGGGAACCATTCTGCATCACCTGAGCCATCCCTGTAAATGTAAAACATGTTTTGGATTTTCCAAAGTCTTTCACAGCTCCGGTAAGGATTTCACCTATAATCTATGTCGTAAGAATTGGCAAAAAAGATGCTTAGTTTTGGGGTTTTCAAAAAATGTCCAGTGCAACTAACAGCTTTTATCTTGCATTGAATCAAACCGATGACAATCACATGCTGTCATAATGAGAAACAAAAAGCAAAAATAATTAATGATATGGAGAATCTATACAAAAATTGGTTGTTCCCCCTCAAGTTCTGAGATCACAATTAGTGAGTCTGACATTTCAAGGGAGAGTGGCTCTGATTTGGGATTTGGGTTTATAACCTGTCACAAAAGAGGTATACAGATGAGATTAAAAAGTCGTGAAATTAAAATCAAAATTAGACCAGCTTACCTTCTTATTCTTTTTCACATAGCCTATGGCAACTTCTCGCCGCAAATTTGCCCTTTCAGAGAGCTCAATAAATGATGGATTCTCCCCTTCTTTCATGAAGAGACTAATATCCTATCAGTAGAAGCAAAAATGTAAGAATTTTTTGACAGGTAAGTGAAACACCACATACCCTGGTTGCATCCCTTGATCACTAAAACAGGACCCTAGGTTACAGTCATCTTTAGTTACTATGGATTTGCTTCAATTGATAAATAATTGCAAGGCTGCATATCCCAAGCTAGTAATTGTAAGCATACAAAAAAGATAAAAGAAAAAACAACTGTAATTCTAGGTTTATCTCATCAAACTACCATGGGGCCAAACTTCCGTATTTGTTTCACTTATTTTGCACTACCACCAATTTGGTAGTGAGTGTATCCAAGGTCTCCCCTTGTATCCTTTTAAATCTGCTTTCAGAAGAATATTTATATTGAATGTTGAAGGGTGAATCATCAATCATGAGGCACACTTACCTTCACATATATCTCATCTCCTTCTGCATTAAGAATATCTTTCCACACCTCATTTAGTTCACAATTCTCTGCCACTGCCAATCACAATATAGACAATTTTAGAATAAATTCAATCTGATATATGTATGTATGTATGTATTTGTGTGTGTCTGTGTGTATGTATGTAGGTAGGTGTTTTCACAGCTTTGAGTGTTAAAGAACCAAACCTTGAGCTGTTACAAGACTCATTACTTCCTCTGCTGCAATATATGTTATAGATGGCTTAATTCTTGCAAGCTGCAAGCATAACAGGAGAGCTACATTAATCTACATCTGCATGGACACACTAAAATCCATTTTGGAAATTAAACCAGCTTGTGCAGGAATTACTTGTTTTCCCAATTTTGTGTCAACTATTTCTGCAACCAAGTTGTGAACCTGCAACTCAATCATACATTATCATTTAAGAGTGACAAGATGGAACATAGATGCTCCTTAAAAGTTAAGGCATCTCTTAATTCAAAGATGAAAACAAGAATCTGGCGTTTTAATTCATAATAAGTCTACTGAATGACCGATTTATTTTTTGAACATTGTCATTTCCATGATAAACCTGATAATTCTCGCAGAAAAGTAAAATTGCAATAACCCCATATCCAATCTTAAGTATGTCAAATTTAATTTACGTGGTTGAGGTGAATATACTGTTTTTAACTCTAACTACTGTTTAGGTTCATACTTGATCTGCAATGCTTGTACGTGGGCATGGCAATAAACAACCTGCACGTGATAACTGGAGTAGATATAGATGGTAGGAATGTAGGAGAAAGATTACACAACAATTTGGCAATCAGTGCCACTGTGTAGGTAGAAAACTCATAAAGCAACCAGAGATGAGCTTTTCATTTCAGGTGTTAAAATAAGGAAAACCTTAGGATCGTCTTGTCTTTGGTGGAGAGGATCAAGAAGTGATTTTGTTAGAAAGTTACAGGAGCAATAAAAGATGACACCCGGGGTTGAAGCTGGGGTTAATAATCATTAGGAAGAGTTACCCAATTTTTGTGGGAGTTGAGGTGGAGGTGGATGGGGAGAGATAAGAGGTTTGGGATTGCATGTGAGTGTTCAAGGGCAATGGTGTGGTGCAAGTGGATATTTTGATGAAAAAGAAAGCTTTCTATTAAGCATGGTTAACAATATCAACAAGATCTGGCAAAAACTCCTTGAAACATCCCAAATTCGCCAGAGGATGATATGGACTATTCCAAGAATTTGTTTTCCCTTCATATATTAGATAAATTGCCGACATATTAGGGACATTTCAAATTCCATAACAAATTCCATTGATAAATTATACAACTAAGATTTAAAATTTTAGAATATCATTTAAACTTTCCAATATTTTGTAAAAATCAAATTTCATTGTCAAATTATCTGTTTTCCCTTCATATCTTTTATGCATTTTGGTTTCCCAGCCTAATTCATTGAGTAGAGGTCAGTAAAGGAGACTGCCTCAAGATGCCACTCTTTCTTGTTAAGATCTTTAAGATTTTAGTTCATGTGTCAAAACTTTAAATGACAAATATACTAACCTTCACATTAAGTTTGTTGCAAATATTTTCAGCAAGAAGAAGGGAATATGCAGAGTGTTTGTCTGCCTTTGATGCATCTGCACAGAAACTAGTCAGTAAAATGCTGATTTGAGCTAATTGCATTTTCATTTTCATATGTCATTACCTCCAAGAAGCCATTCCCTATCAGATACAACAACAACTGAAAAGGGTATCTCCTCATTATTCTTAAAAGAGTTTCTAATATCTAATATGGCTTCCTTCAGGACATCGTAGTCCATGGGATTACCCATCTGAAAAAATAGAAAATAACATGAACTCGATGAGAAAAGGACATGATTTCTGAAAGAATTGACTTCACTTCCATAAAAATATTATAGTCAAAGTTTTAACTGAAAATGTGTGACAGTACCCTATGAGATACACGGATATTTTTGAGTTTATCTTGACCAGATACTTTAGTTGCCTTATTTCTCTCATCCAAAGGTACATCTGATAATATCTCCTGCAAAATTAATAGCAAATAGAATGAAACATAAACACAAGGCTTATGTATTTATGCTCTAAACCCCTAAATTCATTTCAACTATTCAAAAATATTGAAAATTATTGTATAAGAGACAGATTTGCAGCTTGGGTAGCCCAAAGTGGTAACTGAGGCTTTACCAATTTTGGCTTGGACTTTTGGTCTTCCGGACAAGCGTGGGCCTCAAAGGTCATGCCTGATCTCAGCTCAGGTTAGGCTAGGAGGCTGACATCTCTGCTAACAATATCACGTCCCAAACCTAGCCTAATCCTACACAGCATAGGATATTCATCCCAAGCCCAATTATGGAATGCATACATTTCTGGTACCCAAATATGGATACAAACACAGATACAGGAAACTGGGATACAACTCTCCATTTCCTAAATCCTGGATATGGATACAGGTACGCGTATCCCATGTAATATGCATATATCATGCATTGATATCTAGTTCTTGAAGCAAAATGTTATTTCTCAAGACTGTCTTTGCAAATTTAATTAAATTTCTAAGATGTCACAGATTTTTTTATAGTATAATTTGTTAAAACATATCATTTCACATATTTTAAAAGTGATATAATGCAATAGAGTACATCTACAAGTATTCATGCAGCATCTAGTAGTGTATTCAACACCAGCAAGCTAGGCATATACAAGTATCCGTCTATCATAGGCATACACACTATTTCAATCATGTTTAAATATGTATCAGATGGTATTTTTATGGACAACTATTTTCTTTTCTTTTATTTTCTTTTATATATTGGATCTTACAACCCGAAGGAAATATAGAGCAGCAAAACATGAGTAAGAAAAGCCTCAAACCTGATCAGCTGGGCCAAGTTTAACTAAGCCAGCACCAAGTTGTGTTAATCTATAGCTCAGGCCTTATGTCAATTCGAGAGGGCAGCAAAGGAGAAGAGAAGAGAAGAGAGAAGAGAAGGAAGAAAGAAGAAGGATTGAGGCAATGGAACAGTGCTGGCGGCGCCAGCTTCATTATAATATATAGGGCGAAAAAATAAGAAGGGAAATGATCCTTGTGCCCCTACTAAGTAATGGTTACAATAATAGATTAAAATATAAAGGCTTTAATCAGCCAAACAGACCCTAACAAACATAAAATCAATTATTTCAACAGAGGTTAACATGTCCATTAAGAAAAGGCCCATTAACACATAAAACAGATATAACATTACTTAAACATAAAAGAAATATTAGGGCCCATTGGGCCCAGTCTCTCTGCACTCCCTCTCAAGCTGAGCATAGATGTCAATCATGCCCAACTTACTTATATAGCGTGTCAGCTTTCCTTTTGGAACACCTTTGGTCAAAACATCAACCAACTGCTCTTTTGAAGCAATAAATGGCAAGCGGACTTCCTGAAGCAACTTTCTCCCTTATGAAATGTCTATGAACCTCTATGTACTTAGTTCTGCCATGCTGAATAGGATTATTTTCAATGTTGATAGCTGCTTGGTTGTCACAGTAGAGCATCATTGGCTTTTCATAGTCAATACCCAACTCTCCCAAAAGTGATTTCAACCACAATAATTCTGACACTCCATGTGCCATTGCCCTGTGCTCTGCTTCAGCTGAGGATCTGGCAACTACAGACTGTTTCTTACTTCTCCATGAGACAATGTTCCCTGCCACCAAGGCACAATATCCTGAGGTGGATCTCTTATCATCAATACATCCGGCCCAATCAACATCAATGTATGCCTCTAGCTTCATGTGTCCATGCTTGGCAAATGGAATACCTTTCCCTGGAGTTCCTTTCAAGTGGCACAAAACACTTTCTGCAACTGCTAAATGTGTATCTCTGGGAGAATGCATAATCTGATTAATAACACTTACTGCAAAGGAAATATTTGGCCAAGTCATGCAGAGATATAACAACTTTCCAAGCAATCTTTGGAACACTCCCCTATTAGTCAACAGTTCACCATTAGTAGCAGAAAGCTTATGGTTTAGGTCTATAGGGGTAGAAGCCGGTTTAGCACCAAGTTTACTAGTCTCTATAAGGAGATCAAGAACATACTTGCGTTGAGAAATGAAGATACCATCCTTAGATCTAGCAACTTCAATTCCCAAGAAGTATTTGAGATCCCCCAAATCTTTTATATCAAATTCAATGTTAAGAAATCTTTTGAGCTTAATCACTTCCTGAGTGTCATTACCCGTAACCACAATGTCATCAACATAAACAATCAGAAAAGTCACCAAAGAGTTACTTCTCTTCACAAATAAAGTATGGTCAGATTTACTCTGTGTATAACCAAAAGAAACAAGGGCAGCTCTGGATCTCTCAAACTAGGCTCTAGGGGACTGTTTGAGACTGTTAGTGTTGACTGTGTAGGGGTATTTTAGTCTTTATAGTTATGTTTTAAAGCTGATGTGTAATGTTATGTTAGTTGATGTGTCCCATACTTAAGTAGGGGCAAAGGAGTCTTTTGTTCTTATGAATAGAAACATATAAATTAAATCTGGCTGACTAGAGAGGTGATTGAGTTCTCTAGTTCGAACCAGAATTTTCTTCCTCTGTATTCTTCTCTCTTCTTCTTCTTCTTCTTCTTCTTCTATTCTCTCTAATATCTCTTCAACCCTAATTCTAACAGAATTCTAGTGCAGATTAGGTTTATAATATGGTATCAGAGCAAGTTTGACAAAATCGAATCTGCCCAGAATTCTGGTTTTCTCGCATTCAGCCTAATGTTTTTTACTTTTTTCTTCATCATTGGTTGAAGATAGGGAAAGGGGCTGAAAAGGACTGGTCGCCCTCTTCCCTTGGAGGTTTCTATGCCTCCGGTCAGCAAGTTTGTGGGTGTTTGCAGTGATTCGTAGGAAGCCCCCCCTAATCGATGGTGAGAAGAGGGCTGGTTCGAGTGATGCAGTGAAGTGTCGAGTGCAGATTGATTGTTTGGTGATTAGATAAGTGGGTTTTGTGCATATTTCAGTGTGGATCGAATGGTTAGTGAATTCCAAATAGTGTGGTGAGAATTCAGGTTGTTGTGTAGTAGGGTTTCATGCAGATTTCAGTGTAGATCGAATGGTTAGTTAGTTCCAAGTAGTGTGGTGAGAATTCAGGTAGTCGTGTAAGTAGGGTTGTGGTGTGGAGAGTGAAGAATTCAGCAACAAGTGGTGCTGAGTGCAGTGTGGTGAGAGGTGAATTAGAAAGATTTTTTTTTTCAGATATAGGAGATAACAGTGAAAACAAAACAAGTGTGATGGTTCCCACTGACTACCTGAATGCTCAAATGACTTCTATCAAGTTGAATGGGGAAAACTGTAGAAGTCTTTCTTAAAGCTAAGAAGAAAGTAAAGCATATAAGGGAAGAAAAACCCTACACTGAGTCTCATGAGTATGGTGATTGGGAACAAGAGGATGCATAGATTATAACCTGGTTATGGAATAGCATGGAACCCAAGATCAGTATGAATTTCATGCTTCTGATACAGCCAAGGAAGCTTGGGACCATGCTAAGAAGCTGTATTTGGGACAAGACAACACAACTAGAGTGTATCAACTTTATCAGGAATACTTTAATCTGTAACAGGGTAATTAGAGTCTTGAGGAGTACTATGCTAGCATGAGAAATGGGGTTTCACTACAATACCTAGAGATTAAAAAACTAGGGTTTCACTACACCCCACTATCGGGAGGAAGAGAGAAGAAGCAGCTACTCCTACCAGATCTTCCCAATCTCCTTCAAATCCCAACCACACACTTTTGGGGATCAAAATACACCTCCCAAACCCTGAGCGCCACACCCAATCCTTCTCCTTAATTTGTAACTTAAAATCTCTCTAGTTGGCTAGGGTTTTGGGCAAAAAAAAAAAACCAGCTTCAATTCCTAGCAATTTTTGGCCAGATTCTAACTCTCCAAACCCTCTACCAACTAAGCAAATAGTCATCTGACTAATCAGCAATGTATCTCTCCACATACTCTTCTAATCGAAGGGTGTATGGGAAAAAAAAAGAAAAAGAAAAGTGGAGGAAGAACTGCTCTGATACCAAGATGTAGGTCTGTCCTTCAAATCCGATATAAAACTGATAAAAGAAATAAGAAAGTGAGAGAGAAAGAAAGGTTACAGCAGAATAGAAGAAGAAGAGAAAGAAGAAGAGAGTTTGATGGTGCTCTCTCTCCCTTCACTAATCTTTTATTAAACTTAATTAATCATGCTAATTACAAGTCTGCCCTTTAATTGGGCGACCAACAAAGCAGTAACTTAAAAGAACTTAAAAAGAGGTTAACAGGTCCATTAAGAAAAGGCCCATTAACACATAAACAGATATAACATTACTTAAACATAAAAGAAATATTAGGGCCCATTCAGCCCAGTCTCTCTACAAATGTGTATACATTTTTCATAAAAACCAGGTGTAGTATACACATAATGTGTATTTTACTGTATACATGGTCAATTCAGGGGCTCCTATATCTAGAGGGTGTTTCATATCATGGTGTTGCATTTGTACTTGATTTAAGTGTAAATCCCTATACGATTCTAGGTTAAAGTAGAGAAGAAGAAGAGAAAAAAGAAGAAGAGAAGAAGAAGAAGAAGAAGGAGGAGAAGAAGGGTTTGACCAGATTAGGAAAAATCAGTCCACCTCTAGCCGACCCACTTGTATTTATCTCAAATAGTATAGTTACAAGAAAGACCATATTGTCCCTCATAAGTGATGGGACACATAACTTAA